TAATTGTTAATAGCATAGTTAAAATGGTCCCAAATAGGAAGCAGATTTGAATATAAATAATTGAAATAGAGTTGTCGGCCTTCAGCCTTTTAGCATGACACCGAATTTTTTTAACAATTTTATTTTGTCAAGGACAAGACTTTGTCACTTTAAGACACGTGTCTAATCGTGAGCCTGCTGCCAATGCCAAGCCAGTATAAATCTGTGAGTAAATTTTGCAGAAGTAATTTTGATTGGATAAAAACACATAGGCTAATTAATTTGATGGAAATATAAGATTTTTTGCCTGATTTTTAGATCAGTGATTTCTCTGTTGTTAATTTTAAAATTAATTTTTTTACAATTTGTTTTTCTTTTTTGGTAATTCAGTTTTTAATTCCTTTAATTCCAGTTTAAAATATTAAATCCTAAAAATTTAAAACTATTTCTTATTCCCATTAGATAATAAATTAGCTTTCTTTATCACCTCAGTGGGACATTAATTGTCTATATAAAGTTATGGATCCAGATCACATAGAACGTTTAATTAAGCCATCTAATTTCAATCAGACCGCAGTAAATTTCCACTCCCGCGACCAGGAAGACAGTTTTCGCCGAATTGAAAAAACGGGCTCGTCCTATCGGTTGCATACATTAAATAGGTCTGGTCCATAAAACAGGTCTTGTGCCTCGGAATGAGGAGGAAAAAGCATTCCACCTCGATTCGCATACCTGGTGTGACCCTTCGGGACTCGCGCGGCAATAAAATAAGCATGGACCGACCTTTCATTAGCCGCTTCTCAGAAACGATGCGGTTCTCGAAAGCAAAACAAATCGTTTTTGTCCGAAATCACCTGGCTGCATTATGATTGAATAAAAAATTGTGGAAAAATGATCGCCGTCGGCGTATATTTAACGCCTCGTACCCATTGTGTGTTTTTTTTCCATCATCTGGCCATTAGACAAGCAGCGTCGGAGGTTATTTTACATTTGTGTTGCCGGCATTCCATTTAATACATCGGTCCTCGGCATTTTGTTGATTCATGCAAATTAATATCTTGCGCTCTTTACACACCGCGACACGGCGGTGCTGCTGTGCGGCCACAGGAGGATTACCCGCCAGAAGACCGTGGGATTATTGCCGTTTTTGCCCTCGCATCCATTGCCAGGCTGTTGCACCGCAGCTCGTCCGAACAGTTCAAATCTGCCAAAAGATTTGTCAACAACTTTTTAATCCAGAAAAAAGGATAAAGTTTAATTTAAAATTTACAAAAAAGATATGAAAAAAGCAAATACATCTTAATTTCGGAGAACAATTTTTTGATTAATTTAAATTAATAATTTCAGAAGCTGCGCAATCTGATTTAAATTAAATTAATTTTTCTGTTACTAAAAACTATAGAGTTCTTCCAAATTTATTCTCTCATTAATTGAAAATGAAATCGTTTTATTTTGAGTGAAATAAATTTTATTTGCGCTATATTCAGAAGCTATACCATGAAAATGCTATTTTCATGCATTGAATATTAATAATAAGATAATTAAATTAATTAGTTCATTACTATGAACCGTTAATAAGTAAGTTACTAATATTAGCCTATATGATTCAATTTAAATCTTTGAATTGGTCAATAAACATACACAACAATTATTGCTGTTGGTTTTAAATCATTTTAATTTGTAACTTTAGATAATAATCTTTTTCTACATGTTTGAAAATATATAAAAAATAAAATTACAATACTAAACGTTATGATGGATTTTGTTTTTTTAATTCACTTTAATTGTAATTTTGTGAACTGAAGAACCTCGCAATTATACTCCTCTCTTATATTTTGTAATCAAATTCCCTTTAAACACAAAAGGAGCGCACTTGGTAAATTTAACGGTTCTCCAATTCTTTATTCTCTCGCTGTTTGAACGATATTAAGTCTCATTAGCTTTACCTTTTTTTACTTAAATTTATAAAACGAAGTTAATTATAATTAATATCCGCCGCATTCTTCTATATTTCTGTTTCCATCGTCAATGAATGTTTTGCATTCTGATCGCGCCGCAAATTGACAAACAAAAGCAGAACTATACACGCCCTGGAATAAAGTTGAAGCGGGACGGCATCTGGAGCGGCATTTGCGCCGAGCAGCGATCAAGTCTGATTCCGTAACTGGTTTAAATACCGAACCTGCACTCGCTCCTCTCGAGTGGGAGGCTGGGGAGGCGGTTCATAAGATGGCAAGGAATGTGGAGGCAGGTTTCGCTCCATCTCACCCATGGTTTCGTCGTCGGCACAGGTTGTCTGCAAATGCCAGAGACGGCCGAGCGAAGCTACTTGTGAAAATTATCCAAATATTTCTGAATTAATAATTGGTATAATTGATAATAATTAGCAGAGAACATAAAAAAATGCTGTTCGGAAATATTTAACAAATAGTTGAAACACTTAAGTTTCACGTTTTTATTAATTAAAAATTTCAATTCTCTAAAAATATAAATTTTTAATTTTTGAAGATTAATTTACAAAATAAAAATATGGAAAATTAGGGTTAATAACTGCACAGTATGAAATTGGCTAGAGGATCATGATATCATCGAGATCTCTTAATAGTTTTATATTATTTGAAAATGTAAATTTAACTTGATATACTTAATTTAACACACAAAAATCCACAAATGACACCACAAGCATTACAAACACTTGTGCTTAAAATTTCCTGCTTTTATTAGCTTTTTATTTAGCAAATTATAATAAAAATTAATTTATTTTTCCTTGTCCACTGCTTCCTCGTGTTGTTAATTTCAATTCACCAAGATTTTTGTTGTCACTAATTACTATCTTTTTAGGAGCAATAATTTACGTGCGCCGTCTAATTTCTGTCAGAGATTGGCATCAGACGCTTTTGTAGTTTAATTTTAGAACGTGCGTGTGTCTAGAACAACACCCGGCGCAAAGCGTGATGTTTCGCCTCGAATTACATGCGCATTCGGCGGACGTGTGAATAAGATTATTGCGGAGAGACAAGACAAGAAGACGCGAGCAACAAAGTTTAACTTTGTGCCGCGCGTCTTATCTTCATCTCTTTGTATGTAAAGAGTCCAACTCGTTAGCGACTTTTACACATTTCGCTACAACTCAAATTCAGCAATGTTTATATTTTTGAAGTTTTTGTATCTTAAATGGTGAGTGACAGCGCAACAGTCTTGAGGCCGGATGTACCGATAATGCTTGTTTTGCTCCTTTCAAATTTGCTCAGATTATGGGCGTCTCGTTTCGTTTCCGCAGCAAACTGATATTTATTCACGTCTTGTATAGTTGATTGCTCTATTAGTCTTATCAGTTTTGTTAATTGGCTGGGGGATCCCAATCAAAAAGGGGTTCTGGTTTCTTGGAAAACCCCGATTCAATGCTTTGCATGAATTTTGAAATAAATAAATAAAAAGCATTCAATTCTACATAAATGAAACATTTCTTGAAAACGGTCCAAAGTCTTCCAAGAAAAATATAATTTGGGTGAAAAAAATTAAATACTTATTTTTATCAAAATTGTTTTTCTCTCCAATTTCAGCTTTAAAATATGCATTTATTTGAAATTTTGATTAGTCAATATTGTTCAATGTCAGCTAAAGAATGGACCATTCAATTGCACAACTTGCACTGAAAAAATATGCATAGAAAGAGGGGAAAAGGGGCTTGCTGGCCCTTTTTGATCTTTAAATTAGCTTTTTTTTTACCTGAGATTTAAAAAAATAAGCAGCTCTCAATTAATAGCCTTTCATATACATATATTATGTTTTTCAATAACAATCAAACTTTTGATTCTAGACTATAGTATCACTCAGAAATATCTTCAAAGTGGGTTAGTTGAATTAGTCTAAACATACATTTATTTATTCGAATTTATTAATGTTTTTAAAATGTTTGCATTGAAAAGTGCAAATTATAGAATTAGGTGCTGATTGAAGAAAGATTGCTAAAAATTTTGGAAGCCCAGAATCTTTTATGAAGGAAATAAATTAATTAATTTTATGAAAAAAAAAAAACAGATCCTGGAACTGTAATCAATCTTCATAATTTTTACGCTCGTCCTAATTAGAAATTCAATTAAATCCGCCCACAAAAAATCAACACGTTGAATATTTTTTTTCCACTTCTTGTAATGATGATTCACGAGCTCTGCATTAGCATATAATTCATAATTCGGCTCTGATAAATGATCTTGGTGGAAGAAATTAATTCGTGGTGGCGGGCCGGGCACCGCCTCGAACAATGCCGTAATGAATTCATTACCGAAAGCAGACGAAAAACAAACCGATGAATGAGAGAGACAACACGCTTGGCTCATAATTATTCAATCAGAGGCAGAAAACGTTGCAAGGAAAAAGGCTGCGCCGATCCCACCTTCCACTTGGACCGCCGCGTCAGGTGGCCTCTCTAAAGGTGGAGTCACTCTCCGCCTAGTGGAAATTCAGGTTCTTTTCTCACGGGCGCGGAGAGCGGTCCAAATATAAATACATACATATACGGACATTAGCTTATTAATGCACGCCGGCATGAAAAGCGACATACGCCCCTCATTCATTCTTCGAATCGCGCCCGCCGTCTCAACTAAAACGCTAACTGTAATGCTGTTTTTTTTTACAACCAGCACTCGCCCGTCGTTAATAAATAATTTGCAAATGCGTGATATTAAAAAAAGTCCATTGCGCTAATTAGCATGACACGCCGGTCAGTTTGGAAATTCTGTTAAACGGAGATTGTAATTCCGTGGTGACTTTCTATTTTTAGTCCTCCAGACGATCGAGCAGTTGCAATTTACGATGTACAGTTAAGACTAATTTCTTTGGACTACCTTCGTAACCTTAGGGCGTTATTCAACGGAATTACAAAACGAGAAGTGTAACAAAAACGAGGAGGAATTTTTCATTTACCAGTTTTAAGATCTTGATTGCGTTAAAAGAATAAAAAAATAATGATTGTTGCTTTTAAAGTTTAAAAAATAATTTATTTTTTGATTTTGTTTCAGGTGTACAAAAGACTGGACATAGTGACAAACAAAGTGACCCCTGAAGAAATGGCGCAAGTGCCGCACCACATGATAGACATTTTGAGTCCCAAGGACAATTTTAATGTTGTTGACTACCGGAATCAAGCTCTTGCAAAGGTAAATATTTCCTTTATATTATAAAATTGGTTAATTGTGGTAACATTTTAAATTGCAGTCATTTCTATTAACGCCAGGTTATAATTATTTAAAAAAAAAACTGATCAGAGATAAATCAGAGGACAAAAATTTTAGTTATTGGTTATATCTTGGAATACTTCTTTGGGAATTCAATATTTTTTTCCACTTAATTAAAGAAGAACTTCTTAATTGAGATGTTTATCTATTTCAATTATTGTTTATATTTTTTGAAGAAGTTTAATTCCTTGCAAAAATTTCATTAATTTTAATGCAGTGTAATTTGTGGGTTTTAGATTTAAATAATTAATTACATAAAATTTGAATTTAAAAAAGGAAAGAAGTAAAATAAATATAAATATTTAAGCAAAAGTGTTCTCTCGAAAATAAGAAAATATCGCACGCGCCGTCTTTCTCGTACTTAACTTTTACTTATTTTAAACCGATTTCAACGTGACAGTGCGCGTACCCATTATTCACGCAATTGAATTTGGCCAGCTGGCAACAAGCACGTGTTTTTGATATTGCCGATTAAATTTCTGTCAGCGCGATACCCGTCAAGTGCGTCCTTCTTATTGCCAAAAAGAAAAATCGGCGCCACCACTCTCTCATTAATATTTCTGCATACCCGTCGCGACAGCAACATTGTACTTACTTTGGTACTTACACAGTCTCACATTTTGATAATGATCCTTCTTGCGCGCTGACCAATAAATAACAATTTTTATCGGCTGCCGCAGAGAGAGATGATAACCTCGCCCAAGTTGACTTTTTTTCTCGACTTTTCAGTGAGTGGATGATAAAAAATAAAAATGGAATGATCATGCATAACATTATAAGAACTTATAATTTCGAGTGGGCCTGCCGTAGAAATCCCGCAGGAAGTGGTGACTTTCGTGCTTCCTACGCGCGCTCTCCATCAATCATTTTGCTCCTTTTTCCTCACACTGTTATCATCAGCACTTCTCATTTGCCTGAAGTGAGCTATTTGAGGAAAACGAGAGTTTCCCATTTCTTTATACAGAAAGACGTCCTAATTGCTTTTCGTTAGTTGGGCGCTGATTATTATGTACAGTTTTTTAGAGGTGATTATTTTTATCTTCCAGGGAAAATATTTTTGAAGCAGATTTGCATAGTACAATTTTTAACAAAAACTACTTCTTTTATCATCAGAGCCGTCATGCATTTTAGAACAAAAATAAAATTAAAATGTTTTTCTTAAAATTTAGACACCGTGACTTGCCAAAATTTTTTTCTTAACGAATGTGAGATTAAAATATCCCATTCTTTAAACTATTTTAACAGTAAGGCAGAATGTTCGTAAAAATTTGAAAATGATCGTTTTGGCCGTTTCGCACTGAAGACTTTTGGAAGCCAGTAAAACGGAAGCCACTGGTGGTGCGTATAGGAAATTCGCCGGCGGAGGCACCTGCGTGCGCTCCTCGCACACAAAAGAGCAACAGGTATAAATGTAATAATAACGCGAGAGGGAAATGCCGAATAATTTGAGTGCCCGTATCAGACGTGTGGATCTGCCGGAGTATAATTAATTGTGCGTTTGTCGTCGATCGCGACAGCCGAGGCAGCGGCGTTCTAATTGATGGCTCCGGCTCCCAAGTGCATGGTTGGCGTGGGAAGTCGCGATTTGTTTTGATTTGCGTCCTTAATCGCCGCGTGATACTTGACACAGCGACTTTATTGTGATTGTAAAATGTAATCTGCATTGTGAGGCGAGCACTTAAGTTAGAATTAAATTGACTGAGAAAGACGAGACACGCCCACATTTCTCATTTAATAACAATAAATTGAGATCAATCATTTGTGAAAATACATTAAACATGTTCATAACATTTGTTATAAATTATTGAAAGTCATTTTCGTTTTTAATATATTGGGACTTACATTATAAACAAGATTTAAAATTAAAAAAAATTATCTATGAAAAGACTTCGAAAACAAAGGCTCTGCTTAGGCGTATCGTCGCCTGGAATCAAAACAAACCGATCGTGGCCCGGTCGGATTGCGCCGCCGACAGTGACAGAACGAGTGGAATTTTGATTTATAACTCAATAAAATTATCACTGCTAACCGCCCATTCGCGGCGGGCGCCTCCTGCTTCCACCGGTGCTTGATTTATGTATTGTTGTTGTTGCGCCTGATAATTTCGGCTCTTCTTTTTTCACCCGAGCCGCCACAAATGATATACACCCTATCTGTGCCAATTGCAATTTGGATTTTGAAAAATTATTACCAACTGCGTATTAACTATTAGTCCGCAATTAAAGTACCGAGCACTTTGGAAGTATAATTGTTGGTTAGGCTCAAGGCCTGTGACGAGATAAATTAAAGAGCCTTGTCTGATACGCATTTAGTTTTCCTACAAGAGCGTGATTCCCAATTAGTCTAATTTAGATTTCAAGTAATCGCTTATATTGACTGCAATTAGTTTAATTCGTCTTTTGCATTATTAATTTGAATTTTTCTTTAGAATTTAAATGTTTTTGAATGAAATTTTCAGTAATTAAATATTGCTATCAACAAAATTAATTCATATTTAATGCGTCAATGACATTTTCAATAAAAGATCACAATATACAATTCTCAAACATCTCGCTTGTCTCTGGATGAATTTCGGAAAACTATTCTCAAAAAGTATTTGTTTCTTCTCGTTGGTCTGTCTAAATTTACCGGTGGTAGTTGGTTGTTGCCCCTTGCGAGCCACGTTCTTACCAATGTGACCGACCCGACCATCGTCTGCCTAATGGATTCCGATCAGGCAGGGGAGAACAAAGAGCGGCACAATAGCTCATTTCGATATTTATAGAGTGCGAGAGAGGGATGCCGCGCACCGTCGGCTGGCAGACAAATAAAATTCCGTAATCCCAAAAATAAAATACAAAATCCGTCGGGCGACGGCAGGCGGGGGCTAAATTGACCCTATACAAGCGATTCTGCGGCGGTTCTTCCCGGTCATTGCCTTACAATTAGATGAATTTTTAATCCTTTACAATTTATTTATTTGTGTTTAACATTTTTGTTAATTATTTGTGTAGTTGTTACCTTTTAATTCACACTTTCTAAAACTAAAAGATTCTCAAATTTGAATTTTCGCATTTTAATTAATTAAATAATTTCCTATTTTTAGTTTAAAAAACTAAAATTTTGGCATTTTTAAACGTCAAACTATTTATCTTCTTTCAAACAAGTTCTTCTTCAATTATTGAATGTAAGCAATGTGTGCAAAATAAAAACAACTCCTCCAAGGTTCTTGTGATTTTTGCTAAGTAAAAATTTCAATTTTTCAATTGTGATTGTGAAGTTATCCAAATTATTTGTTGGCTTTTGCAATTACGAATAAAAATCTATAGTGAAATTATTGTAAATTTAATTTTTTTTTTTTTTTAATTTTCACCTTCATTCATTTATTTTTTTTTTAAGGAATTTACGAGCCTTTTGAAAGAATTAAGTGTTAAAAAATTTATAGAATTCCCTTCATACGTGTTTATTTGGCAAATCTCCATGGCATGATGTATCTCTGTCTCTACTGAAAAATAAATTATGTTGATGAAAGGAGTAAAAATATCTATTCACTGACCTTCAACAACAATTTAAAAAGATTAAATTTATTTTATCTTCACATCTAAAATTTAGACTGTGATTTTCTCAAATTTTTAGTAAAAAAATATTGTTTCTTAAGAAACAGGACTTCCTGGGAACATTTATTAAAGAATTGAAAGTTAAAAGAATGGATAACGATCACATCTGCCCGTCGATCGGCGGCTGTCATATGAGAGCTCACGAACAGAAATTTACATAAATCAATCGGCGCGTCGCCAAAGAATCGTCCGTCGGTTGAGGGGCCGCCGCCGCCGCCGAACTCATCAAAGCTCGATTGTTATCGGGCCATTTGGTGCTGCCGGAGCAGCAGCCGAACTTTGATTGTATTTTGGGAGTCAACAGCGGGCGGCGTTTACATAAAAAATCTGGAGCACCGTCATAGGTATTAGGTGCTCGCGGGAAAGGGTTCAACATTCTCTCGGCCACACGTGTACCCGCGCGCGCGGGTGTGCTGCCAGTTACTTATCAGTCGTGCTGTTGGCGGCCTTTAAATCTGTTAACGCTCTCGCTTGGAACGCCGCGTGAATTCATGCGCTTGCATCGACCGGCAGTGAATCTGTCCAGATATCTGCCTCGTCGGGAACAAAGAAGTGAACCGGCCTTGTTTTATTACTTACTTAATGGCGTTGCTGGCTGACGTTCAAAAAAAGACTTTTAATTTCATTTTATTCAAGGCCGGAACTTACTTAAATTACTTAGAAAGTGAATCAATATCTTATTGTTAAAAAAAAACATAATAAATCAATTAAAAAATTGCATGATGCTTAAGAAAAGTTTTCAATTATGATTCCAACCTAAACTTCAGCTAGAGATTTCTTCTTGATTATAAGTTTTTAGCATTTTTTTATTGCAAAAACATTATTTTCTCCAAAAGTATTTTTAAAATATTTATTATTTCTATTTTGTGATAATTTTTTGTTTGTAAATGAATGATGAGACAAAAGGGGAAAAAAACACCAATAACTTCCGTGCCAAAATCAAGTCTCGGAAAGTTGATTCCGGCTTCTCACATTATGCAACCTGCTCAACAAGTTGCACCTTACGCGGGCGCCATATAAATGTATTCCTGTCTGGCATCCCATCATCTTAATTCATCCATCAATCTCACTTTTCTGTCTCTTTTCACCCCCCGGTATGCCCAAAATATTTATTCGCATCATTTATTTTTCCGGCTTCAGATTGCGGAGATTGACTCGCGCAGCAAACTGCCCATCGTGGTCGGCGGCACCAATTACTACATCGAGTCCCTCCTGTGGAAAGTCCTGGTCCAGTACGAGTGCAAAATAATAAAGGCGCCGGAGGCTGCGAATTCCGTGGCTGCTGATCAATCAGCAAGCTTGGAGTTTGCAAAGCTGGACAACGACGAACTCATGAAGCGGCTCGAGGCCGTGGACCCCGAGACGGCCCTTCGGCTGCACCCCAACGACCGCAGGAAGGTGATCAGGTAGGGAATCTGCACGGCACGTGTGTCAAAATTTAAAGTGGATCAAAACTTTTTAGATGAAAACATGATTATTTTTTAAATGGCAGTATTATAGGTTATAATTTTTAGTTAGAATCTGACTGATAAATTGCTACTCATGTTTAAAAGTTTTTTGAGTGAATAAATTGAAATGAAGAATTAAATTTGCACATAAATTATTCACTAAACAGCTATAGAGATGATTGAATTATCACCTAAAATTATAGAGGAAAATAACTAATATCTACCGATAAATTTTTAGTGCTCTTTTAAATCAGCTTAATTGTTTCTAAATCTATCAAAAAGATTTCATTTTATTCAACCAAAAATTCAGATATTAAAAACAGTCAAACCTTAGATTGAAATATAGAAAAATAGTTTTTTTTTATTTAATCAATTTAAGAAAATTGGTACTTGGAAATTAAAATGGGATTATTCTATTAAAGCGAGAATTTAAATTTGCTGTTGAGCTTTGACGGATGTAAATTAAGTTTTTAGATTATAAATAAATTCTTGATATATTTCATTAAATTTGCATTTAGACATTTTTTACTCATAATTTATCTTACAAAATTTCAAGATGTATTTAAATTTAAATGATTCTATTAAAATTTATAAATTACAATGTTGTTTGAGATATCATATTTTTCAACTGGTAATAACCTAAAACAGTACATCAATCCTCTTTAATATCAAATTCATCCACTTCCTCGGAGAATCTCCAAGTCAAATTTTGCCATTATGCAGAATTTTATGAGGCCGAATATTTTACACTTTTTACTTGAAATCGCATTAATTTCCCTTTAAAATTGCGAATGCTGACAAAACAAACAAATTTTGAGCGAAAGGTTGGACACTGAATAATTTCTGCATAACTTTTTCAGTGGCATTCGAGTGGCACTTGACGACTCCTTATCAGCGAGCGAAGAGTTTTGCGAAATGCCCTCGCACGCGGAGAGACACGTTTTTTTCGCATACTGATAACGAGCGTGTAGACAGTGAGTGGAGCCAGTCGCGAGTAGTACATAAATTACATTTGGGATTCGCGCTGATAATGAGCTGCACGTTTCGATAATTAAGAGAGTCGGTCGGCTGGGCTAAAGGCTAAGCGATTTTCGGCAGGCCCAGCACTGCTGTTTCCATGCACAGCCTCACTGTGCGCGCGCGGAGATCAATTGTACTTGTTAATCTGTCCTTTTGACTTTCATTGATTGCGTGTGTTTTCCAATTTTTGATGATACTGCGCGAAATAATATGTGCACAGAATGTTGCACGGCCTGACAGCAGCTGATCAGCACGTGAACGCCGCAGGGACTTTGCCACTTTTTACGAGAGCAACCCCATTGATCTCAATTCGTTATCTGCCGAAATTGGACAAAATTCACTCTTGAGAGTCAATAATCAATTGATCACCATGATAATGCAACTTATTTGCAAAATCATCAATAAAACTCTCATATAATTGCAGAGGCGTTAAATTTTTTATTGAGGGTTAAAATCCCAGGATTATTTCAAATGAAATAATTTGCGAAAGTTAATAAATTATGCATTTTAATTTGTAATTAATTCAAATTAAAAGAAATAAAAGATGCAAATTTATTATTCTAAATTATCATTTTTTCATTTATAAAATTGTAATTTTTAATTGAAACAATGTTTGGGCAGTAAAATAATTAATTTAACTTGTATTATTCCTCACAGCTGTTGGCGATGGAAAGGAATTTGATGAAAAGCATTCCAGGTAAACCTTGCGAAAGGCGCCGCGATTGTGGTCCAGAGAGAAAGAGCGGTGCAAATTATTTGGCCTGTGGCGAGTCGCACCGACAAATAATCCTCTATCATTTTAGCATATCTCGGCGCTCGTGGTAATTACGGACTCGAACGAGGGCAGCTTTGGCGGCTCAGGTGATCTCTCGAGCGGATGGGATAATAAAATAAAAATTAAACTCTCTAGGCCCTGAGCTGTGGCGGACGAGCACCTGTGGCTCGGCGAAAATGAGACTAACTAATTCCGAGAGTGCGAGCGGCCTGATTGATTGAGGCAAATGGCACCGGCCGTTTGTTTTCGCGGCGGGGGCTCGACCCTCAGATAGACGATACGCACCTTTGTGTAGAACGATTTGCGACCCTTGGCGACGATTTGCGGCGATTTCGTTTGATCTTGATGTGATTCTCGGAAGCATTATCAAGATAAATCATGAGAATCCTTGATATTTTCTTATTGAATTCTAAAAACATACAGAAAATTCAAGATTTTTTGAAGTGAGGATGTTAATTGCCCTTTAAATAAATAATTTTTTGTATAAAAATTTCAATTATTACTGATTATTAATTAAAATTTTGTATATATTGTGGTATTTTTACCAGACAAATAATTTTATTTAGTAAAACGATCACATTTGTAAAAATTTCACTCTCAAATAATGGTCACAAATAAATTTAAAAAATATATATATTTATGTAACAATAATTTGGAAAATGATGTTGCACAGATTTATACTTTTTTTAAGAATAAAATTTTAAAGAAGTATCAATTTTTTATTATTCCACACCAATCAAAGGTTGCAAGCGCTGTAATTGAGAAGTCTGCAAACTTCATCTCCAGCACTCTCTGCAAAACTAAAACCATTCCATTAGACTCACATATAAAGAACCGCCGCCGCAATTCGCAAGTTTCCCTCCAGCTAGGCGAGACTATTTGCGGCATGTTAACAAGAGAGGCGATCCTCAAGGCGCTTTCAGCACTTCTTACTTATTAGTTAGGCGGCAGCGATTATTGCAGGCAAGCCAATCGATGATGCCACATTGTTTACTAACTCGGGAAATTGTCGGCGCGTCTCTCGCTAGATTTTCCCGCCGAGAGCACTTTTAAAAGCAAAGTTGCACTCACTCGAGTGTAGGAAAAGAAGTGCCATGAGTTTGTGCCGATTATGCATGGTGAAGCACATCTAACAACTTCTAATAAGTAAAAGAGAGGAAGGCTTGTCTGAAAAGCTTTAATGAAGGAATTGATGCTTTAAAATTAAGAGTGGAAATAAGTGGTTCTCCTCTTAAGAGTTAAAAAATCTTATCAAAGAGCACATAAAAAAGTGTTAAAAATGTATGTGTTTTATAAATTTTGAATCAAAATTAACTTTTTCATTTTAATAATTTGAAGAAATAATTTAACACTTCATCAATCCACTAATTTGGATTTTGTAATAATGCAAACATCACTTATATAGTGCAATTTAAAACGAAAATATATTGGGAAATATTTTTTTAGGTTCATATAATGAGTTAAAAAGTAATCCGAAATTCCGAAGAAAGTTCTGAACCAAAATTTACTGCTGCCGAGAACCTTTTGTGCTTTCTTTTAAAAATGTTGCAAAAAGTATTCGCAATTTTGAAATAAACCCAAAAATTCATTTCACGGTCAGAATTTTCTACAAAAAAGCAAACAACACTTTTGTTGACAATTTAAATTTAAAAATTCACCTTTTGAGACCTTGGGCCTTCAACAGTGCGTGGAGCGTCCCACACAATCAGTGCGCCCCGCGGTTAGATAAAGGACGGGGGCACTGTAAGTGACGACAAGAACCCCGACCGCGTTTGCTCTTCCATTGTGACGTCAAAATTACGTATACACACGCCTGGCGAAAAGCAGTGCGCGCGCGAGACATGCTAATCGTGAGAACAAGTGCGTTAATTACGGCCCGTTGTAAATTACGCACGCACGCAGGCACATCTTTCTTTCTCTGTGGCGCGGCGGTGCTATAAATTTCCGTGGCGTCTCCGATAATAATTAGACGCGCGTATGACGCTAAGGTGTGCACAGCACGCACGTGACATTGTGTGCCTACGGCGCCAGTTGTGATTAGCACGCCGCGGTGGACTCTTTTCTTTCTTTTTTTCCGTCTCATTCTCGCCACCAAAGCGTGACGTCTGCCGCTCTTTTTTTCGCTGCCGTCTGCTGACTGCTCTTTTTTCTCAAACAATCCATCTCCTCTCGCTCCCTCTCCGTCTTATTTAACAGCTTTCAGAGCCACGTTTATATGTCTGTAATGTGCGGTGGGCGATTTGCACGTCTGTCTCGCCACCGGCCGGTCGAATCGCTCTGTTTGCAGTCTGCGTCCTCACATGAAGCCTTTCGCAGCAGACGGTGCACTTTTTGCTTACAAGTCGATACACTTTTTAAAAAAAATTACTTTAAAAAAATCACGTCAGTATGTAAAGCTTTGTTGATATGTGGTTGAAGACAATGGATTTGTGTCTAAAAAGAAGAGTCAACTTTGTTGAAAATATTTAGATTTATTACTAGACTTGCGCAAATTTGTGAAATGGGCCATTTTGAAGGATAAATTTATCAAATTTTAATTCTTCTTTATCTTTATCACAATGTTTTTTTTTTAATTTTACCTCATTTGTCCTGTAAGATTACACACTTTAACATTATTTATTTAATAACGAAAGGTTGTTGTGAAATAAACAAAAATTCTCATAATAACAATGTCAGTGTGTGAATCAATATGGAGGAAAATTTTCCTTATTTTGAATCTGTTTTTGCAGACCTAATATTAAATTAGCAAACTCACCTTATAAACTAACAATACGCAGATTTGAGAGAAAATCTACTAAAAAATATTCCTCCTCTACATAAACGAATAATTAATTTTCTAATATTTTATTAAAATGTTTGTTTTCCAAAAAGATTGAAATAATTTTTTTTAACCAAGAGATTGAATGAGCCCAAGCATATATAAATGTTCACTAACAAAAATTTCATAGATTCCAATGGCAATCAAATCCTAATTAATTAATTAAGTTTGTATTTTAGGATGAATTCCCTTTACCTGTGACTAACTTGCTGCACCTGAAATTGTATTGTACACCAGCAGTCCTTCTATAATATATGATGATAAATATTTCATCAATCCAAATATGAAATCAATCTTCGTGAACAAATACTGATAAAATCAAGAGGGGCCATCCCCCTCGGAGCC